GGCCAAAACTTTCGTCCGTAGTTGCTCTGCTTCCACGTCTGCAATATTGTTGTTTTGAATTGCTGTTTTGTGGCTGTGATCAGTTCCAGTTATCCATCTGGGAAACCAAACAACTTCTGGCGAAGTCGGATGGCACAACACAGAAAAGCTAACTCGTCAGGCCACAGACTCCACAGTCTATATGATTGCGTTCTAAATAATGTGGGGGATTATTTACTCACATCCCAGAAATCTACATTGAAATCTGAGTAACAGTGTATATACGACAGAGCTCAATCAATGTTGCACCACTCACACTTGCTTTGAATATCTAATGGAGGGCTTGCGTCTCTTCTTGTGTGTGACTAGGACATCGTGGCCTACAACTGTGAGGAGTCTGCCTGCTGCTCACTGCCCTTTCCCATCATAGCGGACAGCAAACGGGAGCTGGCAGTCGCCCTGGGCATGCTGGACCCAGATGAGAGGGACAAAGATGGCATGCCCCTTACTGCCCGCTGTGTGAGAAACATAAACACACATTTGTTTCACACATTTTTTTCACATCCATCGTTAAGGTTTTTATCCCTCTCACTGGGAAACTCTCTCACCTTTCTTTCCCCCCATCTAGGTGTTTATTATTGGTCCTGACAAAAAGTTAAAGCTGTCCCTGCTTTACCCAGCCACCACAGGACGCAATTTTGATGAGATCTTGAGAGTGGTGGACTCACTCCAGCTCACAGCAGGGAAGCGAGTAGCCACACCTGCCGACTGGAAGGTATGCCATGCATTTGAAAGTGACCTCAGTTGCTGCCAGTTATTACAGCAGCTGAAGGCACAGATAATAGCTATAGGACCTGAGCAGCTGCTGTGTTGACCAGCAGACTTTTTTGCAATGTGTCTCTTCCTCCAGCCTGGAAACTGCGTGATGGTTCCCCCGAGTATGTCTGAAGAAGAGGCCGCCTCTTTGTTCCCAGCTGGCGTCTACACCAAAGACCTCCCCTCTGGCAAGAAGTACCTGCGCTACACACCCCAGCCATAAGCACAGGCAGAAAGGATGCTGATATTCAACACTTGCATCTGTTACGTGGACTGCATTGTCCATTGCATGGACAGCGCTCTCACCTGGTTGATAGACATCCCAGCTGTGAATAAGTCCCAGTCAGCATGGATGGAATGAATACCAGTGTCTTATGATATAGGATTGTTCTAACTGAGACATTTAGTACAACTTCCTCTCCTCAAGCTGCCTACTTTTCTAAGAAGACAGATGGAAAGGAGCTGTCATGGGGAAATAGATTACGATTTGAATAAAAGATTTTTTTTAATCTACAGTGTGGCAGAATAAGTCTCTTTTTTTTTTTTTTAGCAGAAATACTGTTGGCATGTTGTTTACAGGTTCAAAAGTAAGATGTTTATGATGCTATTTAAGCCATACGCTGTATATCATAAATACATATAGGAATATGACCTCACAAATAGGTTTATTATTATAAATACCCATAAGCTACTCCCGTATTGATGCCTTGATATTGTCATACCATCTGAGGAGTTTTGAACTAAATCAAGAGCTAGCTAGTTTGGTTAGCAAGGTCCATCTATAATCAGCTGTGATATTAATAAGAGAAAATGCACAGCTGACTCCTTAGAAGGTCTCCACAACCCTGCACATAAAAGATGGACATAGCATCTGGCATCTGTTGTCCTCATTTTTCAGCTTGGCGTTAGTTTAGCATTAGCATTTAGCTTGGTTAGAAAGTTGCATATATAAACTTTAGGTGTGCAACATACAAACATTAATAGCTCTACTTAGTGTTAAGTAACTGTTACTGCTGTAACAAATGACCGTTACAGACATGAAAAATGATGAAATAAATGAATACAATATCACAAAAAATAGAAAGATTTGAAAAATGTTTCAAAGGGGAGTTCAATTAGAAGCTGAAGCAGATGTTAGAGAAAGCATTCATCTGCATGTCTAGTAAAGGTTGCTGGGGTGGTCAGGATCCATTCATCATCCACTGTTATCTGTGTGACCTCTTTCTCAGATGATGGAGGAATCCAAACAGTGTGCTGATTCAAACTACACTCAAAATAGCAACAGCAATGACGAATTCCCTTGGCCAGTAATATGGATGCATTCCAGCAGCTGGCAGTTCAATATTCAGGCTGCAGAAACATTTCCTTGCAGTCTGGAATTACACCACCACAAATACAAGAAGATTTCTCATTACTGCTCAGATTAACATCCACGCCTGCTGAATAGTTCTGAAGCCAGGTACATTCACTCTGTGGTCTGGAAAATGTGAGTGTGGCGACATCTCACTGCAACGCTCCATGAAGCACATCAGTCAACACTCATGTGTTCCCTCAGAGCCTTAATCAGTTCACCGAGCTCATCCATCTAGAGTTGAGGGGAGACTGAAAACAAATTTCTTGGGTGGTCTGTACCACACAACGGGCCACAATATTTGTCAAATAGTTCAATTAAAATACTGAAAGGGCCGGTTCAGTGATTCATATTATCTGAGGTCCCTTCATAGAGACTAAAACTGATATCAGGCAGTAAACATCCCTTTTAATGCTGTAAAATGTGGCTTTTCAACAACAACAATTCCAAACCAGACTCAAGTGGCCAATCCAGGACCTGCAGGTTTAAATCTACTGTATAAATTTGTGGACATAGGTTTTTGAAGCTGGACGTGGTGATACTTTGAGAAGAGGTGCAACTTGTAACAAAATTTAATATAATTCCCCACTCTTCTCTTTACAGCTGTCAAGCTGAGCATGACAAGCTTAAATCAGTAAACATGATTAAATTTGGCAATAATGTTTAAAGTGTGTAATACTGGTCTAATATTAAACTGCTGACAGTGATGATGCAAAACTTTTGCAAGAACAAATTAACCGATTTCACTGGATTTTTTACCTCGACCAAGTTTTTTTGGTCATGCAACATGTTTTTGGTAGCAAAAACATGTTGCATCATGTTTTTGGTAGCATTTCTGTGCGCGCGTGTCATTCTGTGTGTAAACACATAGCTCGTAAAGTTTTTAATGAATTTGAATGAATGCAAACTTTGTAGTGGTGTAGAGTCGGGTAATGTTAACAATCTTATATCCACCAAGGTCTTTAAGGTCAATTTAATGATTTATTTGCCAAAAAATGACCTCATAAGCCTCATAAGTTAGAAACTAGAATTCTTACAAGTATGGTGTGTATTGTTAACATATAGAAAGTACCTTATATAAAGATTTAAAATATCATGTTACATATGACCTCTAACCTCCTTCAAGGTCAATAGATTCATCTCAAGGTCACCGTGATAATAAAGCTTTTGAAAACATTGTTTCTTTGCCATCGTTTGTATTGACAACAAAAGAATATAGGGAATGATGTATGTATATACAAAATGTATGTATATGCTACTGCTTACATACATACTGCCCAAAGAGTGAGCTGCCTTGGCTGAGGTTGGCATCTTGTTGGATCTGTAATGACATCACGGTGTGAGCAGTGGGTGGACGGAGCTACTAGGCTGGCGTTCCAGCTCTAACGCCTTCACCCTAAGATGCATCGCTTCCACTTCCAGCTACCAATTTCTCAACTCCACTTCCTTAATCCAGAGCATCAGCTGGACTTCCTCAGCTGACGTCCCCCACCTCAGGACTGGGAGGAGCTATAGAAGTGGTTACAGGAGGACTAGTGGAAGGAGTAGGTACAGGAGCTACTGGCTCCACATCAGCTATGCCTGCCCCATCCGCCAACAGTCCCCTCTCACCCAGTGCCTTGGCTATAAGCCGCCGCAGTTCTTCCTTCCTCACAACCAGTGGTGTTTGCACATTAAAAAGGTTGGCAATAAGCATCAAATCTATCTTCTTACACTTATTCAACTGCTGCAATGTAGGATCCCCAGCAAACTTATCCAAATCAAACTCCATTGTGGCTAACAACACAAACCAAACAGCCACCCAGCAACACGCAGACAAACCACCCACCTGGGCGCTACAAAAGGAAACGCAAATGGCAAGGACGAGCCCCCAAATACACACACACACACACATATATATATATATATATACATAAATATAGATATGTCCAGGATCTCCTCTGTGACTTTGTTAGCTTTGGCTAGCACTGTCCCTGGCCTCCTCTGTATCCTAAGTTAGTTCTGTTTGAAGTGTTAACTCAGCTGTGTGGGATTTGGTGTTCCCTCCTCACCGGGTTGACAGCATCAGCTAAGAGCTTATCAACTTTTATCTAGGGGAACGATGGCAACAGGCTTCCCCTCTGTGAGCAGCAGACAGGAGAATTTAAGGACAAGGGAGGTGTTAAAAACAGGAAATGGAGGGATGAAGTCAAGTGAGGAGAGAACAAAGGACAAGCAGTTGAATGAATGTCACTGATCGCTGACTGGAAGGACATTAGCTTGTTTATCCAGACACATTAGGCTGGAGTGACAGAGACAGGAGTGTTCATTTGAAATATTTATTAGGAATGCATTAGAAGATAACACTCCATGATGTTTGACTTTAACTGCCACTTGTCCCATTCAGCCTGAATTTGAAACACATAGTTTTACACAGAGATCTGATGCCATCTGATAAGTCCCGCATATATGACATAGTATCACATGAGAATGTTAAACCCCCATAATGGAATTAAAAAACATTATTTATACTGAAAAAAGCAGCAAGGTTAAGACGTCTCGTTCTTGATTTGTCATCACTGTTGTACCACAGAGAGCGAGCTTCATCTCAGACACCTCCCACCAGCACTGTCATCTCTGGCTCATGAGGGCCTGGCACTCCCTCTGGTGGGCGAGCAGTCGCAGGAACACCTTGTACTTCCTCTCATAGAAGCTGTAAAAAAAGGAAGAAATAAAGAAAATCATGAGATAAATTTGATGCCTGCTGTATATTTCAGATTTCATTCCTGAAATATCCCACAACTATATCAATTATTAAACACAAAGAAGGCATCAGAGTCAAGCATTTCCTTTCCTGTTGCAGAATTCCTCACCTCTGGACTTCACTGTCAGGCTGGACGACTTTCCCCACTTTAGCCATTTTTTCCATGGCCTCCTGAAACACAAGACACACACATGAATTTAATTCAATAAATGATAGCACACTCATTCAGCTTCATGTCAGCCATGACCCAGTTATAGTAAAAGCAGCAGCCTGCTGCTGTGGCGGAGTTTATAATTAATGCAGTGCAGGGCCCCTCTGCTGTCTAAACCTACAAAATCCATGCAGCTGACTGTTTGCAGCTCAGAGGCTCAGACAACACAACTGCCTGCTGTGTCTATGTTCGTAATGGGTTGACAGGTGCATCCTCGTCCAAATAACAGCATCGTATTTTTAGTCTGTCTGGCTTTGAGGCTGCTCAGAGTTGTGGTGCTGAGACACAAAGAGATGATGAGTTGACCTGACACAAGATGAATCCATACCTGTCTGTAACAAAAGCCAGCACAGTGCATTGCTTATTATGTAGTTTGGTTCCACCTAGCAGATGCAGGCAGTGAGTCAGTGATTATGTATGACATAACCTATGTCATGTTTGACCTCT